GTAGCATTTTATTAGAATTATTCAATAGATGATGACAAATAGGGGTATGTGACAAAAGGGGCTATAGGGTACATTTATTTATTAAGCTATTGTCCCTTATATTAGCCTCTCATTTTAAATATAAATATGATAGACTCTCCAGTTAAAATTACATGTACCCATGGTGTAGCATGACGTTCTCATATATGTATAAGCTGGGGAATGGCTGCATCGATCTATGAACGTGAATCACCTTGAGGACTTAGTTGTCTTAGTAAGAACTCTCCAAATCTACTCTTCCACCAGTTCTCAATATTATTGTCTTCATCTTCTGTGCTTCATTGGCATGCTTCTGTAACTAATTGGTTAAGATGGGGCCTTGCTGGATTGTTCAGTCTGGCCTAAAGCATACCATGCACTCTAAGCAGGCCTGCCACTTCCATCTTGGGACAGAAGTGTGTTACTACCCCTGCTTACTCTTGAAATACAGCATTTGGTCAACCTCAAACTCCCTTGAAGGTTCCAGTTTTGGGTAAGTAAATTTTGTGTCTATCAGAGGCTGCTGGCTGTGTGGAGTTTTGGCACAGTTTTAAATCCAGAGATAGATCCATGCATTGTCATTGTCATTGTCTTCCCAACATGTACATACCTCCTAACAAGTTTCCAGTTATTAAACTAACTAGACAAACAGAATTTATTTCAGATATTTTGTCCAGAATTTAGTTCCCCTTCTAAGGGAAAGAAATTTATTCAAAATCTAATCTTACTTGTATGTCATTACTTTGTTGTGCATAACCTGTGGCTCTAAATTATACTCGTAAATGAATTAAAAAGTAACTTCAGAGCTGAGCTTGTCTCCATACACCTGAAATCCCAGAAGTAGGGAGGCTGAAGCCAGAAAACTGTGAATCTGAGACAAGCTTGGGCTACTCCATGAATGCCAGGCCCATCTGGGCTACACAGGGAAATGCTGTCTGAAAACAACAACAGCAGCAGCACTGTCTGCAATAGAAGAGTATGAAGAGTCTGAGAGACCCTTCTGAAAGCTGAGTGAAGTGAAAGTCTCAGTAGCAGTTGCTGGCCACTTACCACCTCACACATGAATGGGAGAGCATTGGCTCAGGTATCTCTGGACCTCCAGCAATATGGACAAAGACTCAGCTGCTAATTGTGCACAGGCCTCAACTGGATCGTGTGGACTGGAAGAAGAGTGGAAGTTCCTAGATACACTGATTGTACTTGATTACCTCAGTGCAGACATAGATGATAAAACAGATGTGTTTCGATACTCTGATGTGCATTCCTAAGTTTCCATCATCTTAACAGAAGAAGAATCTTGAAAAAAGCCTTTTTAATTTCCATCCATGTGTATAATATGTACTGATCATATCCTTCCTCCTGCACTTTCCTCTGTATTCCCCTAGGATTCCCCAACATGGATCCTACCTGAATTCTTGGCTTCCCTTTTTCTAATAAAACTGCCATTCCCTCTTAAGAAAGAGGAGTAGAGGTCTCATAAGCTACCCCCAACATAAAGAAGAAGCGTTGAGATTTAAAACTACTGTATTATTTTGCTGTCTCTTACCATCACACACAAGATTCTATTTTAGTTGAAACTTTCATATTTATTCAACAGTTTCAATAAGACATACATGTTAACTGTAGGATCATTGTTAGGGATACACACACACACACACACACACACACACACACACACACACACCAGGGTAGAATAAAAAAATATGTGCAAAGAATATTCTTGCATTAGGGAAAAGTTAATCCTTAGGATTAAGTGACTACTATGAATGGAACAAAAGAACTAGACTAACTTTCCTTAGCAGTTGCCATATAGTGCAGAGAAAAATTGTCATCCAAAGGTACTCTGTGAGCCTTAAGCGCCGTTTTCCTCATGATCAGTGATAAGATCTGCTGACTGGGAAATTATTTGTCTAGGATGAGCAGAGAAGTCAGAGAGACAAAGCAGTTCTTTAAAGAAACAATCAAGAGCAGCTTGTCGTCAATCCTTGGCAGGAAGGCTCCTGCTTTTCCAGTCCTTCCCTACCCATATGGACCACTCTACAACATGTCTCTCTCCCAGTCCAGTGCTGAGAGTCTGCACACTGACACACGTCCGGTTGTCCTCAGGCTCAGATGGTGTCAGGAAATGCTGCCTGTCGGCCCAATTGTGTTGCCCCACCCAAACCCGTAACCCATTCAGCTTCTCATTTATTCCCTGGAAAGAACAAGAATCCAGCAAAATTTCCTACTGCAAGGTAAGATCTAAAGTTCTATGCTTGCTGTTTAACCTCTTCCTTCTCGATGGATTTTTTTTTTTTTTAATTTCAGGGAAAGTGCATAAAGTTCTTGAGGGCTGCGAGGTCTTCAGACTTCCTGTGACACTCCTGAAGGTTACAATAGCGTTCATAGAGTTCCTGTTCCTCAGCGCAAGGGCTGTCCTTGCTGAAGACCATCTGATAGCATATTTCTACTTCCGGGAAATCGATGAGATCTGAGTAGGAGTTCAGAGGACTTTGCCTCCTCTGAAGAGCTTTGTGCATATATTCCATTGTTAATCTTCTCAGTTCTTCCATCCTCTGTCTTCTCTCAATGTTGTCATCATCTCCTTTATTCTGCAGCTGCTCCAATTTTTTCCTGTAACGGCACATGAGCAAGCAGTAGAGGTGACTGTGGTTTTCTGTGGATCTCAGTGCTTTCCCAAGGTATTCAAGAGCTCTGTCTAGGTCACCCTTTTTCCTGTAAAACTGAGCTGCTATTTGGAGGACATCTGTTTGATTAGGAGCCTTTTCCAGGGCATCTTTAATCAGTCGCTCCCCTTCGGCTTCTTCCCCCATCTTTTGCAGTTTCAGGGCCAGGAGAACTTTCACATACTGGTTCTGAGAATTCAGCTCCACAGCCTTCTTCAGAGCAGCCTCAGAAAATTGCTTCTCAGGTTTTTCTCCTAAGCGATACATGGCAATGGCCATCCCAGACGAGCACTCTGGATCCTTGGGCTTCTCTTCTAGTGCCTTTTCGAAGCACATTTTAGCTCTTTCATTTCTTCCACACTTTAGGCGTGTCCATCCTTCCTCACAGTCAAGCTCTGGGCATTCCATGCTGTAAGGATTTGCAAACTTTTGGCAAACTTGTCTCACCTTGTCAACATAAGCCTGAGCTTCTGAGAGCTGACCCATGTGATAGTAGATCCAAGCATAGTTTCCCCAGGTGACCAGACATCTAATTTCTGCTTGATCATTGTGCTCTGGCTTCCGTAAATCTTCAGCTTTCCTTAAGCATTCCAGGGCTGCCTCATTTTCACCATCTAGGTGCTTTATATAGGCCAATAAGTCATACATTGTCGCTTTGTACTCAGACTTTAAATTTTCGATCTGGTTGCACACCCTATCTTCCATATGACTCGACATACTTCCTTCCTTGAATAAATTCCAGGTGAAATGACACTTCAGCTGTGGAAGGATTTCTTCCAGAGATTCCCTGTTGACCTCACTGTGGAGAAAACACACGTGGTCACCCTGATGAGCACCCACACATCTTGTGTATCTTGTGATGGTTACTTTTACATGGTAACTGGACAGAGCCGAAGGACATTGAAATTTAAGTACCTTCTTATGGGTGTTGGACTCAGATTACAGTGTGAGCCATGTGCTCAAGGATATGTTTGTTTAATGGCTATCCTTTCTACTTGTTAATTTC